GCAACCAAGATGTCCTTCTAGAGGTGAATAAATAATAGACTGCAAGACACCCAGACAACAGAATATTAACTCAGTGCTAAAAAGAAATGAACTATTGAGCCACAAAAAGAATGGAGTAACCTTAAGTACATATTACCAAGTGAGAGAAACCAATCTGAAAAGTCTACATAATGTATGAGTCCAAGGATATGACACTCTGGAAAAGGCAAAACTATGGAGACAGTAAAAACACCAATGGTTGTGAGAGGTTTGGGGAAGAAAAGGAGGGATGAATAGGGGGAGCACAGGAGATTTTTAGGACAGTGAAACTATTCTGTGTGACACAGTAATAATGGCCACGTCATTATACATTTGTCAAAACGCATAGTATGTAGAACACAGAGTACACTCTAATGTACTCTTAAGTGAACTATGCACTTTCGTTAATAAAAAGGTACCAACATTGGTTTATCAGTTGTAACAAATGTACCACACTAATAAAAATGTAAACAATAGGGGAAACCATATTTTAAATACCAGCAACAGGCAAACATAATATGACATTTTTTTTTTTTTTTTTGTCTTTTGTCTTTTTCCATGTCTGGCAACGGATCGCAACCCTCAGTGTCGCCCCCGTACCGGACCGGGGACCAGCAACGGGATCGCAACCCTCGGCGTTGCTCCCACGCCTCGCTCAGCCAGTGAGCGGGAACCGGTCTGTATGTGGGATCCGAACCCTCGGGCGGGAGCGCCGCTGCGCTTCCCAAGCGGCGCACTATCCAGTGCGCCACCAGGCCGGCCCCATAATATGACATTTTAAAAATGATATCATTAAGAGCCAGCCCGTGGGTCACTCGGGAGAGTGTGGTGCTGACAACACCACATCAAGGGTTAAGATCCCCTTACTGGTCATCTTTTAAAGACAAACAAACACTTAATATAATTCTCTCAAGGTCCATCCATGTTGTTGCAAATGGCAGTACTTCATTCGTTTTTATAGCTGAGTAGTATTCCATTGTGTAGATATACCACATTTTCCGTATCCACTCATCCAATGATGGACATTTGGGCTGGTTCCAACTCTTGGCTATTGCAAAGAGTGCTGCAATGAACATTGGGGAACAGGCATACCTTCGACTTGAGTCAGGCACAGAAAGAGAAATACCACATGTTCTCACTTATTGGTGGGAGCTAAAAGTA